GAGAATCACATGATTGCTTTGCGATGAAAACAGCTATTTAAGTTCAGTTGTTTTGGTTACCTCCCCTGCTAGCTTGCACCTAGTGGGGTCAATGCTGAGCCGTTTTACTATTATCATGTGAATACAGCTTTAGGGTAGGGCTGCTCGATTATGGAAAAACCCATAATCTCGATTATTTGGGTCAATAATTGTAAATCCGATTATTCATTGACTTTGAAAACATCCATTTATTGGAGTTTTTTTTTTGAACTTTAAGTATAACTCAAAAAAAAAAAGAAGTATTTATAAAAAAATAAAAAAATAAATCGTTTTATTTCGATTACGTTGTTTTCATAATCGTTGCAAGCCATAATCGTAATCGCGATTAAAATATGATTAATTGAGCAGCCCTACTTTAGGGTAAGGCGTTAGGGTCTGTTCCTATTTAATACCTAAATGTGTGGTTTAGTAAGAGTACCCAAAAGTCCCATTCTTCAGTGCTTCACTCTCAAAATGTACAAAACTTCTTAATTTCTAAGAACAGTTTGTAATTTCTAATATCATAGCAGGTGTGTTGTAACATTTTAACACTACACACCTGTACTTACTGCCTCCAACCTGTCAGTCTGTAACCAGGGCAGAGGAAACAGTGACACCTTTGCATTCGTTGTTCCAATGTTTCCCAGAGGGTGTCGTAAAAAAGCATAACCAAACTAATGATCACTTTCGGCTTCAACATTTGTCACCCATTGGTTTAAGTTAGTCAGTAACCAGCCATACTATCCGCAGAGACATTATTTAATCGTCAACTAATTCTAGCAATTCCCAATGTGTCTTTTATTTCTTTTTCAATAAACAGGGTTGTCATTTTTCATATGCAGTCGAGTAAGCAGGGATAGGTTCCTGCACATTAGCTTAATCGTCTCTCGTGTATTCAAACATTTAATTTGTTGCCTCATTAGGAATACATCTCCCCCTTCTCTTCGATGTGACTCTCTTCACTAACCCTCCTTCCCTCCGCACCCTCTCCATTGTCCCCTCCTTTCCTCCTCCCTCGCGCCATTTCACAAAAAGCGATGAGAATCAGTCTGAGTGCAGAAGCTTTGAGAGAGGAGAGAAAAGGTCTACCTTTCCTCAATGAGCTTCAAAGAGCCGTCGCATCAGTCGTTCCTCTCACACGTTCTCTATCTCTACCCTCAGACACACTGCCTTTCCAAATCCGTCCTCTCTTTGAAAGGGTTGCACCGTCACTGCTAACGAACCCGATGAACCCACCGTCTCTCCCCCCCTCCTCTCTCGCTCTGCCTCCGTCTCACTCTCTGCAATAACGCTGTCTAGTCTCAGGTGGCTCGTCTCTCCCTTAGCCTGGCACCGACGCTAAAACGCAATCAATTCAGTCCTGGAATTGTATCACTGTGTGTGTGTGTGTGTGTGTGTGTGTGTGTGTGTGTGTGTGTGTGTGTGTGTGTGTGTGTGTGTGTGTGTGTGTGTGTGTGTGTGTGTGTGTGTGTGTGTGTGTGTGTGTGTTGTGTGGTGTGTGTGTGTGTGTGTGTGTGTGTGTGTGTGTGTGTGTGTGTGTGTGTGTGTGTGTGTGTGTAGTGTGTGGTGTCGTGTGTGGTGTGTGTGTGTGTGTGTGTGTGTGTGTGGTGTGTGTGTGTGTGTGTGTTTGTGTGTGTGTGTGTGTGTGGTGTGTGTGTGTGTGTGTGGTGTGTGTGTGTGTGTGTGTGTGTGTGTGTGGTGTGTGTGTGTGTGTGTGTGTGTGTGTGTGTGTGTGTGTGTGTGGTACAGCAGAGATCATACACTGTTCAACTTGTGACCTTAATTGTCCAGCAAATAGAGTGGTGCAGTAATGAGTCCTTAAACCCGGAGATTAGTAAGCCTTTTTACCATTTCCTGTTCCCTCGTCTCAAAGTCAGTTATGTGAAGGTGTTTGTAGTCTGAAATAAGAACACAAGATGGAGAGATTTTCACGTTTTGTTCTACGACATTAAATACAACAGGAAATACCCCACTCTTGAATATCCACAGCTTCTATGATATATATATATATATATATATAACCTCAGCTTTAATTATGAAGTCATGTGACTCTGTAGTTTCTTTACAGCATCACGCCTTTTATTTCTGCCGAGGTGGTGTTAATACGTGGAGATTATCCTGCTTAAAAAACATGTTGAATATCAATTCCACGTGATGGCCACAGAGATATGTCATCACTGCACCAGGAATCTATTAAAAGCACGTTAAATAAGATTCACATACAGTGTATGATGTGGAGAACTCAGTCAGGCTGTAATGATGCTGTCGACAGGAGTAATGACATGACTCTGACAGCAGCAGCCATGCTAATTTTAACTGGGTAAATATTCTGACTTCCAGCTGTGCGCTCGATGGAAAACCTGAAAGAAAAATCCTAATTTAGAGTCAATGGTCCGAACAAAATGTCCCCTAATGACATCCTAAATTCAGGGCTTGTCACTAAGACAGTTGATTTTCTAGACACTTTTAATATCATGGAAAGCACAACATTTATACTTTGTTACCCTCTAAGGAATGCATGTTGTGATTTCTCTTTCTGCCATTGGCTTGTTTTGCCCTCGCCACATTGAAAGGTCCTGCTGATATTTATGGTTGAAGGATTTTGTCTTAGCAGCTAAATCGTTTGTTTTTCCCTTCAATAAAATCCATCTAACTGGAGCTGGAAAAAGGGCCTTTGTGTACCCACAATCTAATTTACCCAAAGAATATGAGATTAAACATGAACCATCTGAATGTCCAGCAGGAAGCTTGTGTTTTCATAAATAAGTTTTATTTTAGAGTAGGCTTAGCAAACGAAATAAGCTAGCCTGAGGCGACTTCTCATTGATGCTCATCACATGAGACCAGAAACATTATCTACCCAGCCTGTTCCTGGACAGTTAAAGGTCTCCTATTATACTGTTTTCATCAATATATTATAGGTCTCAGATATATACAAACATGTCTCTGATTGGCTGAAACAACAAACCGATCATTGCAGCATTACCCATAATCCCCTCTGTTTCAGCCCTGTTTCCAAAGTGCTGATTCTCTGTCTGTTACTTTAGATGAAAATAAGGAGCCCCTCCCCACGCCCCTCTGAGAGACATTTGGTTACAAAGAACTCAATGGAGCTCTAGGAGGAGATTCAGGTGATAAGGGGGGGGGGGGGGGGGGGTTACCTTGGTTGCTGATTGGCTAATGGTTACACAAGACAACACATCGTTATGACATCATAAAGTGGCCAAAATATGATCAGCTTATTTTCAGACAGGTTTTTATAGAAATGAATCAAAAAGAGAGAGAATCTTTGTTCCTGAAACTTTCAGAGTCTCTTTCCACAGAGGGGACACATGTTGATGTAGAAGAGACATGAAGAAGAGGGGACACATGTTGATGTTAGAAGAGACATGGAGAAGAGGGGACACATGTTGATGTAGAAGAGACATGAAGAAGAGGGGACACATGTTGATGTAGAGAGACATGAAGAGAGGGGACACATGTTGATGTAGAAGAGAACATGAAGAAGAGGGGACACATGTTGATGTAGAAGAGAACATGAAGAAGAGGGGACACATGGTGATGTAGAAGAGACATGGAGAAGAGGGGACACATGTTGATGAGAAGAGACATGGAATGAAGAGGGGACACATGTTGATGTAGAAGAGACATGAAGAAGAGGGACACATGTTGATGTAGAAGAGACATGAAGAAGAGGGGACACATGTTGATGTAGAAGACATGAAGAAGAGGGGACACATGTTGATGTAGAAGAGACATGAAGAAGAGGGGACACATGTTGATGTAGAAGAGACATGAAGAAGAGGGACACATGTTGATGTAGAAGAGACATGAAGAAGAGGGGACACATGTTGATGTAGAAGAGACATGAAGAGAGGGGACACATGTTGATGTAGAAGAGACATGAAGAAGAGGGGACACATGTTGATGTAGAAGAGACATGAAGAAGAGGGGACACATGTTGATGTAGAAGAGACATGAAGAAGAGGGGACACATGTTGATGTAGAAGAGACATGAAGAAGAGGGGACACATGTTGATGTAGAAGAGACATGAAGAAGAGGGGACACATGTTGATGTAGAAGAGGGGACACATGTTGATGAAGAAGAGACATGAAGAAGAGGGGACACATGTTGATGTAGAAGAGACATGAAGAAGAGGGGACACATGTTGATGAGAAAGACATGAAGAAGAGGGGACACATGTTGATGTAGAAGAGACATGAAGAAGAGGGGACACATGTTGATGTAGAAGAGACATGAAGAAGAGGGGACACATGTTGATGTAGAAGAGACATGAAGAAGGGGACACATGTTGATGTAGAAGAGACATGTAGAAGAGACATGAAGAAGAGGGGACACATGTTGATGTAGAAGAGACATGAAGAAGAGGGGACACATGTTGATGTAGAAGAGACATGAAGAAGAGGGGACACATGTTGATGTAGAAGAGACATGAAGAAGAGGGGACACATGTTGATGTAGAAGAGACATGAAGAAGAGGGACACATGTTGATGTAGAAGAGACATGAAGAAGAGGGGACACATGTTGATGTAGAAGAGACATGAAGAAGAGGGGACACATGTTGATGTAGAAGAGACATGAAGAAGAGGGGACACATGTTGATGTAGAAGAGACATGAAGAAGAGGGGACACATGTAGATGTAGAAGAGACATGAAGAAGAGGGGACACCTGTTGATGTAGAAGAGACTAGAAGAAGAGGGGACACATGTTGATGTAGAAGAGACATGAAGAAGAGGGAACACATGTTGATGAAGAGACATGAAGAAGAGGGGACACATGTTGATGTAGAAGAGACATGAAGAAGAAGGGACACATGTTGATGAAGAAGAGACATGAAGAAGAGGGGACACATGTTGATGTAGAAGAGACATGTGAAAGTGGATTCTGCATAATAGGTGACCTTTAAAGATACATGGTTATTTATTTTATTAATCGCTTTCTTGTGGTTATTCTCCAGGCTCCGTTCTGGACGTGATAAAGCACATCATCTCGCGGGGCGAACACAAGTCGGGCGTCCTGGACGAGGCCAGCATCGCCACGGTGCTGAAGGAGGTTCTGGAGGGTCTGGAGTACCTGCACAAGAACGGGCAGGTCCACAGGTAACAAAACACACAGATCCAGAGGTAACAAAACCCACGGCCCGCACGCTGCCACGGTAATAAAAACCAACACAGGACTTTCTGTTAACGCTAAACTAAAGCAGAGGCTGTGCCAGACCTCACCTTGAGGTTTTATGGAGCTGAAACGGTCTCTTCTCTGGTGAGCCACTTAAAAACGTCGTAATAATAATATTGTGGCTCCCACCTTGACTATATGGGACAAGAGGAATCTGTTTTTTTATTTGTGTTTGTGTTGCTTTGTTTCTCAAGCACTGAGGCTGATTATTTATATATATATATATATATATATATATATATATATATATATATATATTAGCTGTACACTTTACGAATATAATAGTTTTTTATGGACAACTTTACCATTCAATCTCGTCCAACTGATTTTGCTGCCGTCACTCCTCGGCTCTTGGTAGTTCAGGCATTTATCAAACCTGGCAACTCCGGGCTTCCTGGCAGCTGTCAATCAAAGTCCAGTGGCTCCGCCCCAAAGTGCCAGAAACTTTTCACGCGCGTAGACAGACTCCGCGAGGCTGATACTCCCGCGAGCGAGCAAGAGGGCTGTCTCTCGCCGCTCGCGGGGGTTTAATCTGCGCGCGAGGGTCATTTTATGCGCGTGTAAAAGCACATTTTCCGCTCGTGAGTAGCTTGTTTTACACGCTAGAATATTGACCCAAATCTGACTCCATACTTTGAGCCTCTCACACTGTTAAAATCTCGAAGTTGCTTTAAAAGTGTCAGAACAGTGGTCTCTCAACTGCATTATGCTGCGTTCACAACGGACGATGCGAATATTCTCATCGCTCTAACCGCTGGAGTTTCACCGCGGCTGTCAGCTGTGTTTACTCCTGTCATTCAAACAGGATGCGCTAGAGAGGGGGCGGGGCTTATATCCATGTAAATACTGTGGTGGAAACCAACGACAAAATTAACCTATTTTACCGTGATTTAATTGTAATACACGTTTCAAAATGATGCCGAAGTAACAAAATACTGATAACGGTTAGTAAAAACCATGCTTTGACAAGTGTGCAGACAAGAAGGCAGGAGAAAAACCTTTTTAAAATGCGTGTTTTCTGAATGGAGATCGGATCGATCAGGCTAAACTAACATTGTAGCTGCTCCGTCCAAACTCACAAGGAGTTGATTAAGAGACTCGTACACACACACACACACACACACACACACACACACACACACACACACACACACACACTTTTGCATTTCAAAGTATTGCTTGTTCATACAGTTGAATGTTGGAGCTTGTTGGGGCAGACACAGTAGTGGTGGCTTAAAGCCCACTTCTGCTCCGCGCCGTCCGTTTAGATGAGCCTGGTCAGAATGATAAAAGAAGGAGTTCAAAACACCGGCATAAAAGTTATAACAATAATCTGATTTTAATGGTAAAAAACACCAATACAAGTTACAGAGTACTCTGGACTCCCAGTTCTACTGCTGTGCGATACAGGTATCGGGACCAGCCAGTCAGAAACAGGGGGCATTTTGCATGACTACACAACAGTATATATGGACATATTTTGGGGTGGAGAGCCACTTCTTATCTTCCCACCGGACCCAACTCCTTTAATTTCCCAGGGAAGGTTTCACACAAACTATTCTTTCCTAAACAATCAAACATTGTACACAGATATATTGGTATCAAACATTGTACACAGATATATTGTGCTTGGGATTATATTGGTCCCAGAAAGAACCTTGAAAAAGAACATGTGTGTGTGTGTGTTAGTGAGGGGAAGTGTATGTGTGTGTGTGTGTGCGTGCTGATAAGCGGAGGCGTATGTGTGTGTGTTGCTGATATCTGGGTCAAGGAGTTTATGTGTGTGTGCTGGAGAAGGGGGGTGTATGTGTGTGTGTTGGCGATATCTGCCTTATGGAGTGTAGGTAAGAAGGTTTATATATATATAGGATTACTTCAAAACAGTCCCAAATAATACATGTTCACTTCAATACAGTTCAAGATAATACCGGTTTACTTTAATACAGTTTAGAACAATATCTGTGTGCTTTAAGCTTCACGTTGCACTGCTGAATGATGTATGTGCAGAGTTAAGATAGATAAGACTTTATTCATCCCGAAGGAAATTGTTGAGTTGGACCCATGAAGGCTGTTTCTTCTGCTCTGAAATGGAATATATTTGTTACATATTAATAGAATTTTAGATTTGATTTCGGATTGTGTGTGTGTGTGGGGGAGGGGGGCGCAACTTCCAATAGGAGTCATTTGGGGGGGCTCTTGGGAAAAAAGGTTGGGAACCCCTGCTATATATAGTATAAGTAGAGACGTATGGAATTACACTGTTTCAATTACTGTGTTAATTAAACGGATAATACCTCTGCTGCAGCATTACAGTATCACTTTCAGCTTAATGTGACGGGGTCAGAGTCAAACCTGCCGTCTGATCCCTGCCCCATCTAAAGAGACATTAATAGAAAAATCATTTATCACTTCTGCTCTGAGGGGTGACGTGTGAAAGAGGTATTCCCTCTGCACTGAGAATCATTGATGTCGGTGTCTGCTAATGTGTAATCTGGATCATATGGGGAAGGGGTGATTGTGATTTGATTTTCGGATATCTAAAACAATAATACAAAAATGTAAGCAGTGTCAAATTAATATACAAAAATATTACTGATTCTAAATTATATATAAACAAATAATCTACTTACTCACACATCCGAAAAGGGGTGGGAAGAAGATTACACTTATTTAATCCCACCCCTTCGCCCAAAACTCAATTATTAACATATATATATTTTTTTCTTCTTTTCTTACATAAATACATTTGTTATTGAGAAACAAAAACATAAAACACACCCAGTTATGATTAAACAGTTCCATCCCTGTATCTTGTTAAAAGCATGTCCTTATACGTATTTTTAAACCGTTTTACGTTAGGACATCCCTTGGTGAGATTTAACGAGGGGGGAGAAAGTCACATGACTGCTCCATCCCGCAGAAAAGCAATTAGAGCCTCGCAGCCGAACTGTAGCCTCGACCGGAGACATTTACCACCCGAGAGAGAAGTGCTCCACCTCCACATTCACAGAGACTCAAAGCTGACAGGTGTCCTCTAAGCAGAGAGGGCAACACATCCTTTACTCAAGTAGAAGTACAGATACTCGTGTTTCAAAATACTCTGGTGAAAGTAGAAGTACTGACTAAACTTCTTTACTCAAGTAAAAGTAAAGACTTTGAAATGTACTTCAGTAAAAAGTACCCATAACTAGCAGCTGTTTTAAAGAGTACCTGACCTCCCTTTATATTAATAGAACAATAATGTCATTGTTAGCTAATGAATGTTTCCATGCTGAACAACGGCAACATGACAACGTTTCCATTGGTCCCTCTTCTTTAGAGAAGACCAGGAAATGATGGATACACGGATCGTGTTCAAATCAATAGGCACGCAATGACTCTAAAGAATAATGATCACGCCACCAAACACACATTCAGACCCCGGCCACACGAGGACGAAAACGGCTAAACGCATAGGATTAACGCAAACGCAATCGCAAACAAGCTTCCGTCCACACGCAATAGTTATCCGGATAGTGTCTGCCCACACGAGACCGCTCCGTTTAGCTCCAACCGCTGGAGAAGCTGCAGTACATATGCAGGAGCCTGTACGTGGCGCTGTAACTTCCTCCACAAAAGCAGCAAAGAAGCATGGTTGTCATGGTTGCCCTTCTGTTTATTCTCCGCGGTGGGGGCCGAGGGAACCGGGCAGAGTTTTTCGCCAGTCAACGTGAATTAAAGTTTAAACCTTCCGACAAAATTATAAAAGTGCCGGTCAAAGGTCTTCTTAGTTATTGAGCTTTAAAACAAATGAATAACGACTCTATATAATATAATAATATAAATACACGGAGCCTCTCTTTTTCCACCCTCTCTTTGGACAGCGTCAGTGTCTGTCTCATGCAGCAGCTGATCCAGTAATGAGTGACCCGGCCGACAGTAAAAATAAACATATGTATAACTAGTTTAGGTAGTTTGAGAGGTGTCTCCGTCCTGTCAGATTAGACTTCTCTCGCGTTTATGTCCATATCGAGAGAAAGATAAATAATCTGAATTCAGTGTGCAGTTTACTTTGACGCGGGGGTGAGCAGCAGAGGTGGGGAGAGGCGGGGCTATTGCGCAATCATTATCAGAAAATGATCGCTGAAGCTGCAGTACATATCCACAAAAGCAGCGAGTAAGATCCCCCCCGGATGTGTAAGTCTGCTGTAGATGTTGCACAAAGAACTGTAGCATAGTCAGTAGCGTCCGGAGCACGATAGCAACTCTGCGATCCGCCATTGTTGTTGTTGTTGGTGGCGAAACACATCAGCAATGGCGCGGGGTAAGCGGAGGTGAGCAGAAGAGGTGGGGAGAGGCGGGGCTATTGCGCAATCATTATCAGAAAATGATCGCTGAAGCTGCAGTACATATCCACAAAAGCAGCGAGTAAGATCCCCCCCGGATGTGTAAGTCTGCTGTAGATGTTGCACAAAGAACTGTAGCATAGTCAGTAGCGTCCGGAGCACGATAGAAACTCTGCGATCCGCCATTGTTGTTGTTGTTGTTGTTGTTGTTGGTGGCGAAACACATCAGCAATGGCGCGGGGTACGCGGAGGTGAGCAGAAGAGGTGGGGAGAGGCAGGGCTATTGCTATTGCGCAATCACTATCAGAACATGTTCTATAGGGCGCACACACGGAGACGTTTGACCCCCCAGAGCGTTGCGTATGCCGTTCTATCCACCTTGGGACCCGTTGTCGTTTCCTCAGTCGTTTAGTGCCGTATTCGGTCGTCCTCGTGTGGCCGAATGGTCTATATGACACTAAACAGTAACGCAAACGGCCGTTTTCGTCCTCGTGTGGCCGGGGCATTAGACTAAAGGAACCAGCTGTTTGAAAAATGAGAGAAGTAGAAAGTACATGTATTTGAGTTCAACATGTGAGAAGCAGAAAGTACAGGTATTT